ATTACAAAAAAAAGGAAAGCGGAACAGCTGTTGAATTCCAAAAATAGTAAAAAGAGGAAGAAAATACGACATGTACAATAAACAGAGTAAGATACAAAAACTGTGAGGACAAATTTACTAGCGACACAGACATTAATGACTTAAAGAATATTGGATGTGACAATTGCATGGTACATTTGAAATGTACTGAATTCGCTGGGGACATATGAAAATATACGTAATAAAGAATTTTTATGCCAAATATGCAAGAATAAGTGAGAGACTGACTATAGGGTAAGACATGGCTGACTTGTGGATAAATTAGGCTGACTACTGATGAAAAGTGTCATAATTTGTTTAATGCTGATTTTTTTTTATATAATTCTAATATAAATATAATGTTTTGTTGATTTCTTTATTAATAGTAATAAACAACCTTTCCGGGAATAATGATTGTTTTTATTCTTAGGTAATGCTTAATATTTAAAATACAGTTGAATCAAATTTTAGTTCTCACTAAAAGGCTGACTCCTGGGTGTTTTACCCTATGTATGTGTGGGTGCGCAAGCACAAGTACATTTTATTTTCCTTCACTATCATAATCAAATAGGACGGCATTAGGACACGATCAGAGTTAGATCAGGCAGGAACCATCGGCTTTGCGTACATTCTGAGGAATGAGAATAAGACACTTCAAACTTCCTTACTTCGGACTGCTACGGACAATCACAAAACCCAATAACTGAATTTGAACCGACCCGAGATTCGAACACAGGACCACATGATTAGCAGTCGCATGATGAATAGGTAGATCGCACCTGTGATTCTCTCACTCTTAGGCCTGAATTCCTATGCTGAAGTCGGTTGCGTACGGTCGGACGCGTACGCGTACGTAGCAAACTACGCGCCGCTGTCGTCAGCGTCGTAGTGTGGGGCTGTATAGAACACAATGTACATTAGTACGCGCGACCGACGTACGCGACCGACGTCAGCGTAGGAGGAATTCAGGTCTTACGTCCCGATGGGACTGCAATCCGACGCGACTGAAGAAAACCGATTAACGGCTTTACGTACTTTCCCAGGCACGACTGTGAAACGTCGCCATTTCTTTGACATCGGGCTGCTATTGAGAACTTCTGGACAGAACTGATATGGCCTGACTTCGGGGTCGGTCCCGGACCGGTATGATCATGGTCATTGTGCATATGACAACTAGACCAACATATAACATTCTCTGACAACTAGAGCTATAGCTCAGTGGTCAGAGAAGTGTGTTGTACGTTCGAGCAAATATAAATGAGTTTTTATGGCAGGATTTGTTATAAGTTTCCAGTTACCCGTGTTTTCACATTGCTGAGTCTACCTTTTTTTTTATAGGATAGGGTTACAAACGAGCACAGAGTCCACCTGATGGTTGTTGTGACCCATAGACATCCACATCTATCCTCAATAAAGAATAAAAATTCAGATGCGTTTTCACCCGTGAGGACTAAGATGAAATACCTCTTTTCCAGTAAAAGGCGTCTCCGATTCTCCACACTCACCATATGAAACACAGCAGTGTTAGCCGCTATTTGACGCTGGTATTCTGTGAGAGCGTGGTCCTTACCCGGTCGAGCCGACCCATTCGTGCTACAACTATACTACTAATATAGCTGCAGCATGGCTCTACCATGTAAAAATACTTCCTACCTCCGATAATATCGCATGAGCTTTATGTATATGGTGTACCATATACATACATACCCACCTGTAGGTGGGTTAGGCGAGCGCTGTGCTGTGTTCGCTCCTTTATTTGTGCCCCTGTAATTATGTTGTTTCTGTGTTGATAAATTTCCTGCTGTGGTTGGATTTGTATCTATATAAAACATGCCAATGGCGGCCATTTTGAGCAACCTATGTACATCTGTGGACTTGCCATGATCTATAATAATGATATTGACATGGAGTAATGCAGATACAAGACAATCTGTTGTCAAAATCGTAAATCACGTTTGTTTGCGAAACTATAGCAAGAACTAAGAATGAAAGAGTGAGCAACCAAAGTTTCCATTTCACGGTCAAGGCGAACTCACACACGATCACGTCTTAAACCTTTTGCATTTGTAGCATCATAATGGTACTATTATTGTGTTGCTGTGTGGTTTGTGGTGTGTGGCGGTTATGGGACATGTCAGAAAAATCTCGTGGCAAAATCATTTATCTCTTTTCTTTGCTTTTGCTTGCTAAGATGACAATTTTAGGGTTAATCGGATGAAGTTTCGAAATTCTAAACAACATTCAAGAGTTCAAAAATAGGAGGAGGTACACAATTCGACTGTATTTTTTTTTGTGTGTTTCCTCAGAACTTTCTTCTAAGTGAATCGATTTTGATGATTCTTTTTTTATTTGAAAGCTGGTGATTCAAGGTCTGACCAGTAGTTTTTGAGTTATCCTTAATAATGCTTATTTAATTGACTTCGACTACATTGATGATGTTCTCATGTTATTTATATTGCAGTCGGTTGTACAAAGTTTTTAATTTTACCCAGTGTAACAATTATATTTTCCTATTCGTGATACTATTTTTACGATGTTTATAATTTTTATGTATTCGTTTCATTTTAATATAACGCGCTAAAATAACACTATAGATAAAAGTGAATGGTGTAGGTAAGGAGGTCATTCAAGGCCGTTTTAATTCGGCGTGGCCAGTCAGTATGATTGGCAAAGTGAGGTTAGGAACGTTAAGTCCCACAATAGGAATTTCTCTTCATTGAACTCTATGCAGCATTGAAAATTCGGAAAATAGAGACAATCTGCACACACACAAACACAGTAAAAAACACACTTGCAAATGGTATTAAGTATAAAAAGTACATTATATTATTCATATTTTTCTTCTGGCGGTATTTTTGGCGCTGGAGATCCTGGGCGGCAGAAACCCATGCTCCGCCACTGTGATCTCGACCGTGGTTTCTATTTCGATGTCGGTCTTGCACACTCAATCAACTTCCTTTTAATAAGCGAAAACGGTACGGTAGCATTTTATCTGAAACCTATTCTCAATCTACATTAAATATTTTCCAAAGATTTTGAGCAAGGAAAAAATTTTGAATATTTCCAATATTATTTGCACATGATATCTCTTTAATCATAAAAAATGAAAGTAATGAAAACCCAAATGTAGTAAGTAATACGTAATGCTTTACCCAATGTCACAGGCTGGTTGCAAAGGCACAATTTCAAACTATAAACAACTAAATCATTAAAAAATGTGTGAGAAATATCATTAATACAGAACGTTACAAACTATACTTCGTAAAACATAATCGCATAACTTTAATATTTATGTATATTTTAGACAAATTATGTAAGTACATTTACATTCCAAAACCAAAACTTTTTTCTAAAATAAAAGAAACAATATAACAACTGTAAAATAGTTGTTCTTTATTTCGCGTGTTACAGAATTAAAAGTTATTTTTTTAAATAAATTATCTCACTTTACTGGAAGTGAAAATGAGAACAAGTTGCGTCCATTAAATAACAAATAAAAAAAGAATATATTTTTACTATACAAAGCTAGTTTTACAATGTGGAAGAACATCTACAAAATTATAATTCTCTACACCAAATCCAATTATGTATTCTTTATTTTTTTATTACTTACGTAATTTTAATTAATTTGCTTAGTTTAACATAATTAACAACTTTATATGATTATTAAGTGGCGAAGCTTGCGAAGTCACTTATTGATTTCACGATGTCTGTCCGTCTGTCCGTCTGTCAGTCTGTCCCACGATTATCTCGAGAACGGTTTCGAATTTTCAAATTCTGTTTTCAGCAATCGATTACTGATCACCCAGGCATCTGAACGTCCTATTTTGAAACTGATTGCTCAACGGCAACCGTTAGAAACCGCTACAAAGCTGATTGCTTCGCCACTTTGCTATGCTGTTAGCTTGCTAGGTTTATTTTAATTGAGTATGTAGATATCTTAATATGTTAGGCACACGTCTAGAAAATCTATACTAATATTATAAAAAGATAAAAGTTTGTGAGTTTGTTTGTAGGAAGTAATCTCTGGAACTATTGAACCGATTTAAAAAAAATTTTTCACTACTTTATTCCTGAGTGACATAGGCTATATATTTGATTGTGATGGGTAATATTTTTAATGTGAAATAACAATATTTATCAATAGATTCCGAAAATAAATCCAAGACACTCTGTACTAAGAACCACACCACATAATTTCATCACAAGTTAAAATGTTTGACGCCCAGCAAAGTGGGCAAGGGTCAGCTAGTATCACATATTGTAATAATACCAGAAAGGTGGTGGTGGTTAAGTTGTAAACACCTAATATTATAATAAATTAACACCAACTGTATACACGTAAAAAATAATTTTTAAACATGGTGGTAGAGCTATGCGGCAGCTATATTAATTGCATAGTTGTAGCACGAATGGGTCGACTCGACCAAGGAAGGCCCACGCTCTCACAGAATACCAGCGCAAAATAGCAGATTGATGCTGTTGTGTTTCGTATGGTGAATGTAGAGAACCGGAGACCCCTTTTACTGCAAAATAGGCATTGCATTTTAGTCCTCAAGGCTAACAACGCATCTACATTTTGATTCGCCAACGAAGATAGATGTAACCACTTACCATCAGATGGACTGTGTACTCGCTTGTGTTCCATACCCTAAAAAAAATTGAATTTGAATTTGATACTGTTGCCTATCATGGGTTACAGTAGACACTCGTTCCATTAAGTGGACTGTGAGTGTGTTTGTCATTTTGCATTGGAAAATAATATTAAATCGTCTATTAACTTTGAGGTTTGTAGCAATGTGTTCTTATCAGCCAACTGATTACATTTTTCCGCGTTGATGGATTTACGCGAAGGTTTATTTTGTGAGATAAGATTGAGTTCCATTCGTTTTGATTAGTACTTGTTGTTTATTATAATACTATTTCTATAGCGTACTTTAAACCGGCCGCTGCTATAACCAATTATTTATTTTGTTGCACAGGTCGGGATCCGCGAAACCACGGCGTCCAGATCGCGCTGTCTACGTGCCTAGAGCGTTGCGTGGAACTGACACCAGCTCGTCCGACGAAGCGAAGGCCGACACGCAAAGGCGGACTAGTCATAGCGCCGATCCAAAGTGTCCAAAGTCTCCCGGCCCCAGGGACAAGTCGGCGCACGGAACGCCCAAACGTTCCATAGACAAGAACTTTTGCAACGTTTACACACCGCCTCCACTCAGGAACCAGAGATCTCACACAGCCCCAAGTATAGGCAACCGGGCTACAGCGAACGATACAAACGAATCTGTGCCTTCTGGCTGCCAAGTGCCAAATAGTGATAGTGCAATATCGTTTAGTGATAATAGTTATAACGACATAGAAGTAGGAGAGAGTTTTTATATAGGAGATTATTTTGCTCATGGACAGCTCGGGTTCTTTACTCCGACTTTTTACGAGTACGCGGACAACCGGGAACTTGAAGACGGCCATTTTGCAAATGAATCTAATTTAAATATGGCGGAACAGGAAACTCAGCAGAGGATCATCGATGGTGATTATATTTACAGTAAAGATGAAGACGCTGAGAAGAATGAGTTGAAGAGAGCGTCGCTAGAGATAAACAGAAGTAGCAAGAGGATAATTAAACAGAGCTTCGATTCAGATGTCCTCGTCATATCCGATCCGGTGGAGGAGACGAAGGAGCAGAACGCAAATGATTTAATCGAGACAAAAGAGATCGAAACGAAGACTAAACCAAAGCTAGAGGCGAAAGTGTCCTTGAAACGCGAGGATAACGACTGGGACGCCGTCTTCGACGACAGTGGCGAATGTCTGGACCCATCCCTCCTCGAGGAGTTGACCTCAACGGTTGGGAAGGTGCATATAAACAAAGCGAAGAACAATTATGAACAGTACCAGACAAGAGGGCAGGCGTTGTTTAACGGGCCGTATGATGAGACGTTCGCCCACGTGGTGGAGGTGTACGACTTCCCCAGCGAGTTCAAGACGAACGATCTGCTGTCCCTCTTCAGTGAATACAAAGACACCGGGTTCGAGATAAAGTGGGTGGACGACACGCACGCGTTGATCGTGTTCAGCAGCGCTAAAATTGGTGAGTGTTTTTAGTTATTTATTTATCCTTTTTTAATATCAATTGATCATTATTATAATTGCGCGAGCACAGGTGCACTCTCTAATAACTCACTGTCATAGTCCAATGGGATACCGCCAACTTCCTTACTTCGGGCAGCTACTGAGAATTACTTGACGGAAAACTCCAATATCTGTTTTTTTTTGGCCCGACCCGGGATTTGAATCAAAGACCTCATGATCTGCAGTCGCGTTTACAATCACTAGACCAACGAGGCAGTCGACCTCGTGTCGTAACATATTCATTAATTTGACAGAGATAGAAATAGAGACTGACAAGATAGAGATTGGCCACATTTTCAATTTTCTTTTGTAATGTATATTTTTAGTAGCAAACGACAAAAGAGAGACTGTCTCCAGAGGGACACTTAAATAACGCGGTTATTCAATATCAAATACACACAAAATGCACACTATAAAAAAATAGGTTTGAAAACTTACAACGATTTAAAGTTGAATTATTTTAAGTTGTCGTATTTGTAACACGTCTAGGATTTATGGGAGAGATATAATTTTTTTTATCTTTGGTTTGTTTTCCAGTTTATTTCTTTTAATTTTTTTAAACATATTTTGTATGAGATTATTATCTTTATATATAAGAATTACGTGTCACGTTGTTTGTCCGCGATGGACTCATAAACTACTGAACTGATTTCAATGAAATTTTGCACACTGTGTGCATTTTGGTCCAACTTGAGAGTTAGGATAGTTTTTATCCCGATAAATGACACTCAAAATATTTTATTGCGAATTTAAGGATTTTTATAAGAAGGGTCGTCGGAAAGGGCAGAACAACGTCTGCCTGGCGAGCTAGTCTATTATATAAATTAGTATTTTATTTATACTGAACTAGCGTCACGAAGCAAGTTAAAGTAATGTATATGTTGCAGATATTCTCTGATTCTCAAGCCTTTCAGTTAAACGTCCACTCAAGTTACGCGATCTTGCCATAGTTTATTTTTTTATAGGATAGGGTGACAAACGAGCACACAGTCCACCTGATGGTAAGTGGCTGCTGCGGCCCATAGACATCTACATCTGTCCTCGTTTGCGAATCAAAATGCAGATGCGTTGTCACCCGTGAGGACTAAGATAAAATGCCTCTTTTCCAGTAAAAAGGGTCTCCGGTTCTCTCTACACTCACCATACGAAACACAGCAGTGTTAAGCTGCTATTTTACGCTGGTATTCTGTGAGAGCATAGTCCTTCCCCGGTCGAGCCGACCCATTCGTGCTACAACTATACTACTAATATAGCTGCAACATGGCTCTACCACGTATAAAAGTTGTTTGGATAAGGACTTGTGCAATATATAAACTTTTGGTTTATCAAATTCTGGTGTATTAAAACTGCCCTATATAAATATAAAGATATTCTTAATATTTACAATGTGCTGCGAATTTTATATACATAGGTATAAGTACATCTTTGTGTGCTCACTCTTATAGTTCTTCATCTTCAACCATTTCACATTTTACACTCAAGTTCGCAGGGTCGACAACGTGATAAAATATAAATTTTGTTCTATTAGAATACCCCACTAACCTGACTTTATGCCGCATGGTTTCTTATAAACTGGTATAATACCATTAAGGTCTTGTCATTAATTTACTTATGATTACGAGTCAAAACATTTAGATTATTGAACGCAAAACAAATACAACAAATAGGACCGTTTCGACACACGATAGTGTGTACTGTGCTATACATATCATATATACATCGACTAATGTTCTTTGAGACTGTTGGTATCAAACGATCACATAGTTCATTGAAGTCAGAAAGGTTCTGTCGGTTTCTAAATATGTATACGGGCTGAAATTGAAGTTATTGGCATCCATTGACCCAATTATTACCTGCTTGTATTACGTCCCGCTGTATAGTAGCGCCGTAAAAAAATCCACTGCCTTATATCAACCTGCAGATTTCGTAAGGGGCGAGAAATGTACATAAAACAAGAGATGGCCGGCAGCATTTTTAGCCGGAACTAAAGACAGACAGACAGACAGACAAAAATTTAAAATAATTGTGTTTTTGTTATAAGTACCGTATATACTTTCATATGCATTTAGTGAAAAAGCTGTTATTTTGACATTACAAACAGACACAAAAAGCTCTTACAAAAATTTACTTCGCAAATATCCGCGTTATAAAATAAAATAAAATGATGTGTCTTACCTAGTATGAAGAGAGAGACACGTCAATTTTATTTATTTGTATTAGATAAATATGCATTAAATATATATTTATAGATTCTTTATCAAAGGTTATTTCGAAATCATAATTAGTTTAATAATAATGAATTTTTTCCGGTAGTTTCACTATCCCATATCGTCCCGTGGGTGTCGTAAGAGGCGGCAGAGGGAAACTGTAACAAGAGATATGCAGCGGCATGTTCCTAATAACAACTCGAAACTAAAAAGCTGCGGTCGCCAAGCCGCCTCCCGAGCGTGGCAACTAAGGCAAAATCCCCCCTGTGAGGTAATATATAGCGGGGGGCCTGTGTTCAGCAGTTGAATTTTATAGGCTGTAATTGATGAATGGATTAATGTTTACGCGAACACTTCACATTGCATAAATCTACTTATACAGATTTTATCGCGTTTATTTTCATTTGTTTTTATCTACTGACGTTTTGAGTGCTTTGCAGCACCCTTGGTCACGGTCACGGGAGACGTCTGTATGTCATAGTCAACCTTGAGTAGGTACCGTCAGTATTTTTAGTTACTTTGACTTTTATTTTATTGCACTAGATGTTTCCTGCGACTTCGTCCGCGTGAAATTGGTTACGATAGATTTCATACATTTTTTTTTGCGCGGCACCCTAACATTAGCTATCTCTGCCAGTGAAAGTCCCGTTAAAATTGGTAAAGCTGTTTCAGATATTAGCCGGAACAAACCGACAGACATACATACATATACATACATACAGACAGACAGGCAGGTAGACAGACAAACCGACAAAAATGTTAAAAATTGTGTTTTTGTTATATGTACCGAATATACTTTCAAATGCATTTAGTGAAAACTTGTAGTTTTGGTATTACAAACGGACACTTTAATTTTATTTAATTGTATAGATATAGGATCTGACAGTTACCAAACTGATTTACGACTGAAGCCTGAACAACAACACTTGTTTTTTTTTCCACGGCTTTGTTCGCGTGGACTTCGCTTTACCAAACATCTCCTCTACATTCTTTACCAGCATCACGCGCTGCGCTGATATTACTTTTTATCTTATGATTACTTTGTAATTTTATTTTAATTATTGTCTAAAGTATATTTGTAGTAGTAAAGCGACTATGCAAATATTCGTAGTATGACAAATTCATAGCCTCCAATAGATGGCGGTATGTGACCACCTAAGGGTAAGCCAGATGTAAAAATATCGATGGGTTTCTTAATGGTTCTTCCCAGGGCAGAGGTTTTTTCCGATCCAGTGGTAAATGTTAAGTGATTTCCAGTAAGTATTCTAGTGATCTATCTATACAAATAAATAAAATTGAAGTATCTGTTTGTAATGTCGAAATAACAGCTTTTTACTAAATGCATATGAAAATATATACAATACTAGCTGTGCACTGCGGTTCCACCCGCGTATATCACGCGTCTGCGCCTTGCGACATGCGAACTTCCAGAGAGACATCACGACGGACGGTTGCTGAGTTAACAAAGGTTTAAAAATTGAAATATGTTACTAAAATTATATGGTTAACGTAATTTGTGGTTATGCATGATACAGGTACCTACTGATACGAATAATGTGGCCTATTTTGTACCGGCGTTACTATTTCACATTTTAACATGAAAAAGTAGTTATTGTGACATAACTGACGGCTCCGTGGCACAGTGGCTTAGCAATCAGTTGTTGCGCTGGGGGCCGCGGGTTCGAATCCCGCACGGAACAAGTATTTGTATGGCCTACAAATAATTGTTCCGGGTCTGGATGTTTGTCCTTGTGCAATTTATGTTTGTAAACTGCCTCCACGACACAGGAGAAAATCCTAGTGTGGGGGTAACGTTTTTTTTTTAAAAAATAATAACTGTAATAGTTAAACATATGGTATCGCAGACTTTTTTTGTAGATATTGATATCCTCTATAAAACTGAAGTACATTACTTTGCTCTATTATCAATAGTTTCCGCAGCGTACGCGATATAAGGTTTCTTTTTGGTATTTTTTTCACACCTTGGGTTACATTAACGAAGTTTTCATACGGATCCCTAACTTTTTTGAAAATATTATATAGCCTATGTTCATCAGGGATAATGTAGGATTCTAATGGTGAAAGAATTATTTCAAATCGGTCCAGTAGTTTCGGAGCCTATTCAATTCAAACAAACAAACAAATCTTTCCTCTTTATAATAGTAGTGTAGATGTAGACTTATAACAAAAACACGATTTTTAAAATTTTTGTCTTTCTGTCTGTCTGTCTGTTTGTTCCGGCTAATCTCCGAAATGGCTGGACCCATTTTGACCGGACTTTCACTGGCAGATAGCTAATGTTATAAGAAGTAACTTAGGCTACTATATTTTAGAAAAAGAATTAGGGTTCTGCGCAAAAAAATAAAACCCATGAAATCCAATCGTAATAAATTACGCGCGGGCGAAGTCGCGGGGAACAGCTAGTATTGAATGAAAATGACTCTATTCTATTCAATGAAGTTGCAAGACATCTGGTACTGTCGACAATATGCCTGCTAATTGTGTCGCATTACAATTTGCTGAAGTAGTAACTTGATACAATGTTAACTAAACCGATTTTACTAATTATGAAGTTACGTTTGGAAGCTGCAACCGTATGACGCAATGGCAATAACGCAACGCGCAACGTTGCGTGTGAACTTGACGCAATTGTTGCTATAACTGCGATAAAAACTGATAACGATCGTAGCTTTATAGCATTGTTTGGCATAACACTGCGTGAAAAGTTCCACTTTGTTATCATATTTGTATA